TTTGACAGAGGTTTCACATCCAGAATATATAACGAACTCAAAAAACAAAGAATCAAGAAAGGAAGTAACCCAACTAAAAATTGGGCTAAGGAACTGAACAGAGAGTTCTCAAAAGAAATAAAGATGGCTAAGAAGCATCTTAAATGGTGTTCAACATCATTAGTAATTAGGGAAATGCAAATTAAAACTGCTTTAAGATTTCATCTTACCCCAGACAGACTGGCTAAGATCAAGAGAACAAATGATACCAAATGTTGGAGATTATGTGGGGAATGGGGAATGCTCATCCACTGCTGGTGGGATTGCAAACTTGTTCAACCTCTATGGAAAGCAGTGTGGAGAACTCTTAAAAAACTACAAATAAGGGGCTGGAGAGAATGGTTCAGCGATTAAGAGCACTAACTGCTCTTGCAGAGGACCCAGGTTCGATTCCCAGCACCCACATGGAGACTAGGAACTGTCCTTAACTCCAGTTCCAGGGGAATCTGAGGCCCTCTTCTGACCTCTGTGGCACTGGATGACACAGGTGCACTCACATACATGCAGACAGTACACTCATACACATAAAATAAAATTTAAAAAAAACTACAAATGAACCTACCATTTGACCCAGTTATACCACTCCTTGGCATATACCCAAAGAATTCACCCTATTGCAGAGACACTTGTATACCCATGTTTGGTTGCTGCTCTTTTCACAATAGCTAAGAGATGGAAGCAACCTAAGTATCCCTCAACTGATGAGTGGATAATGAAAATGTGGTTCATTTATACAATGGAGTTTTACTCGGCAGTAAAGAAAGATGAGATCATAAAATTTGCAGGTAAATGGATGAACTAGAAAGTGCTATACTAAGTGAAGTAACAAAGACTCAGGGAAAAAAAAAACAACAAAAACTGACGTATGTTCTCCCTTATATGTGGATCCTAGCACCAAATCCTTATTAAGTGAGTATGTATCCAGACATAACTACAGGAACCAGGAAAATGAGAAGGAACCAGGGAGGTAAAGGAAAAAAAAAAAGAATCTGAAAGAGAAGAACAGTAGGAAACAGGCATTAATAAGGAAGATATGGATAAAAATGGGGTTATTTTAAAGGGAGGAGGAAGGGAGGGTTATACAAGAAAATTTGGGGATAAAGGGAAAGAAGTAGCTCAAGAGAGTTAGGACCACAGGGGAAGGGTATTATTAAGGGAGAAAGGAGGAAAATGGGGGCACTTTAAATGGGGAAACTATGGTGGAAGGGCTAGACAATGTGAGAGATAAATAATGCCTAGCTACTTTTAAAAAACCAGAGGGAACCATATTAATCGAGCAACCTACTGACAAATTATGCATACAACTAGCTCAAGGAATATAATACATGTCTAGGCAAGGTTTATCTGAGAATGTTTGGTCTTTGGCCAAGCTTTATCTACATAGCATATGATAATTAAAAGTACCAGACTGGTGGAACTAACCTTGGATGTCTAACAGCCATACTTTGAGGCCCATACTTATTTGGTCAGAGGGACATAAAGGACAGTTTTTGTTCCTTGCCCTCCTAAGTCGTCTAAGCTCCAGGGGACTATGAGCATCTCTCAAAATGTCCTGTATCTGTGGTGCATCATCTGTCCTCTTGATCAAGAAGGCCATGGAGACCCCATCAAATGGACTTGAACCAATGTCCAGTCTACAAAGAGGAGAGTCAACACAGGGAAAAAATTTCCTCCATGCTTCCAAGTGAAGCCAGCCGCAGCCGAGCAGGATCTTTGACTTATCTTCACATAGATGGAACTGATAAAAGAAAGGATCTAGGGTCTTCTCCCAAGCCTATGTGATCCCTGAGGAACAGGTCCTCAAACTACCTTAAGAGTAAAAATAAACTGGTTTATCTGGGCCAACTGTATGGTCTTAAACACCCAAAGGGAACGCATAACCAAAGATTAAAGGGATTAATATAATTCTTTAAGAGTCCATGTGTACAGCTAAAAGCTTTATAACAAGAAGCAATGCCAGACAGAAGATACGTTCCTTTGAGTTGTTGGTCAAGGTGGCCCAAGAGATTCCCAGACAGTAAACCAGCACAGAACTGGGAAAATGAACAGCAGAACCCAATCTTTTCTAAAGGAATATTGATTGCTGCTACATGAGGAAGACCTGATCTTCCTAAAACAAGGAACTCTAGGTAGGCTGATCAGATTGAGTGGATGGACAAGCACTGGAGAATGGCTGGGGGTGCCAACAACACGGTGGACAGTAATAGGGATTACAGAGTATGTGGGCTCCAGTGGGGAGTGGGGGAGACCATGGGAAGGTGCCATTTGGGATGTGGGTATATAGATGAATAAGATTGTTTGGGATGTTCTGTATGAAATACACACAAAAAAAATCAACAAATAAAGAAATGAGTTATATTTGAGGAAGAAGCATAAAAATTTGCTCTATGTAAATTTGAGGAGATGAAACACATTGCCACTGAAATCTACCTGATGATTTTCTATCCATACTCAGGTAGACAGATACATACAGTTTAGAAATGCATGTGCCAACATCTAAGTGTTAGTAGCAAAAATAATGAATCTTTCTTTAAGGAACAATATATTCTAAAATGAAATGGAGATCTCTTTTAAAGGTTAAAAACTCATTCAATTTTATGTCTTACAGGGCTTATACTCAGTTCAATATTGTATAACTGTA